GGGGCGGCGGGGGAGAAGGACTAAAGTGTTTCGTGATGGGGCTACATTATGATAAATCTCAAGGTGCAACTCTTCATAAGAGACTTAAGTGAGATTTTCGCCAAAACCCTATCCTGGTCCTGACTCCACTGCGAGTTCATGGTTAAATCTAGCTACATCATGGCGTATGTTAGCCGTAGCCCTAAAAGGCACCCCACTCATGTCCACTTCGGCGAAATTGATGGTGAAGCAAAATGAGAGTCCAGGTTCCGGGCTGAGCAGAGGACGTGCAGGGTTTTCAGGTGAGAGTCGCACCCAAACGTTTTACTCTCGCTCTAGGCCAACCGCAGGGACTCGCTTTCACCTGCGAGCTCTTTCTGCAGAATGCGGGAGGCCGCCGCCGCGGAAGAAGGGGCGGAGGCACAGGAGGAGGCGGCACCCAGGGGCCGGGGAAGGGGAGGCCAGGACCATCGCAGTGACAATTTCTTTTTCTGCGGCGGCGGCTGCAGCAGGGACTGCTGCTGCATGCTCGGGATTGACCGGCCTGCGCGTGGGTTTGCGAGGGCGGTGTTCGTCCCAGGCGCTGGGGAGCCACTGCAAAGAAGGGAAGGAGAAGGAGGAGAACAACGCACGCAGCCGGAACGAGTGGAACTAGCAAAGCTGCCTCGGTCCACAGAGGAGAGAGGGAGGAGGCACTGCCGAGGCAAGCGAGCGGGCGCCTCCACGCTGGGTGCCATGGCACCCGGCTGCAGTGCCTTCTAGCAAAAGCCAGCGCGGCCCGGGCTGCAGCGGCCAGACGGATGCCCAGGCCACACGGCAGGCGCGGGGACAGCCGCTGTAGTCGCCGTCCCACGCGGGCTCCGGATATCAGAGGTTGTTGGTGAGTAGGCGCGCGCGCGCGCGTGTATGCGTGAGTGTGAGCGCGCACCGGCACAGTCAAGTGTGCATGCCGGGTCCGTGTGCCCGGTGGCCTGGCGCGCTGCCTGGCCCTCTTCCGCTGGCGGTTTTGGGTCTCTGGCTTGTTCCGCGGAAAGAAAATGCTTTTTGCCGGCTGTTCACTTCCTTCCAGCAAGTCTTTGGACCCGTCGCCTCCGTGTGCGCTGCCTCTGTGTGCCCCCCAGCCAGCCCCTAGGAATTCGTGTCACCTTGATGGGGAAGGCAGGAAGCTGTGGCTCCTGGTGTCAGGGCGGGACCTTGGCAGTGATCTATACGCGTGGGTTTATGGTTCCGACTTGGAGATAGTGTTGGCATTCAGAGAGACCACCCCTTATCTTTGGGAGTGCGTAGTGTAGAGAAGGGAAGGGTGAGGGTTGGAAAAACAGACCTTTACACCTGCAGGATGTGTGGCACACCTCTGAAGGTAATGTTTACTTTTATGCCTTTTATGAATGCCCATAAGTCAGTCATTCTCCTCACCTGAGGAAGTTAAGCCTTAACCTAAAGGCTTTCGTAAAATTCACAAAGTGGAAATGCCACTAAAACATAATTTTCCAGAATTCTCTACAACAATCCACACTGCTGATATCCAAGATCTTAAGGTGCTATAATTACTGAAATTAAAAAATTAATTACGTACATAATTGGTAATTCAGGAAACAGAACCTGATCTAGAAAATTGGAAAAAAAAATTTTTAAGTGTTTGGGTGGTGTGAGGGTGAGGGTGGTTTCTAGAAATCAGTGTTTTGGTGGCAAGGAAAACCGACAAGTAAGCTCCAATGAGCACACCGCTTTCCAAACAACCTGCTAATCACTGAGAAGAAAATGGAAGTCCTAGGTTTTATGGAATTTCCAGAATTATAATGAGTATCAGTAGGATGCTGGTTTATGATTTCATGATTCAAGGCCTGTCAAGGTCAATATGACAGATTTGTTCCAGCAGATAAATTACATCTGAATGTTTGATTTCCTGTGTAAAGTTTTTGGTGGTAGTTTTCTGTGGTTGTTTTATAGAGATTAAGCCACTGGGTTCTGTTTTTTTCTAGACATTGTTTTAATGGGCAATCTTGTGTTTGTGGGATGGATGCTCAGTCGAACTTCAAAAAAATGTACTGCATTATAGTAGGCATTTTTGTAGCTATAAATATCTGTTTCTTTTTAATTTAAGTTAATGACTTTGAGAAATAGGCTCCTTCTGTTTACCATTGCTCCATTACAGGGTCTTCATTCAAAAGCATGAAATGTTATTGGGATCTACCTGAAAAATGAACTGGCTGGTTGGTTTCTGTTCAAGCATATATCTAGAAAATTGTTAGCCACTTGAAGATCTAAGCTGGAATTTATGAATCAGCTGGTTCTTGGGAATTTTAAGAGGAAAGTTGTTTTTTTTTATACTCTTTTGTAAAAGAAGCACCATTTAAATGATCAGGCAGAGATACCTAGTCCTCTACCCATATTACAGTTTTCAGGGACAGTTTCTTGCCTACTTTTGCCCTGTATCATAGGACCCATTGCTAGTGAGAGGCTTGGAGAGAGAAATGAGAGGAGCTGTGTCCTGAGGGTGTCCTCAGCAGAGAGACTGTCTCTGCGTTTGGCTCCTGAGAAGGACTGACAAAAATAGTTAAAGAATTGTTAGTAATAGTTACTTCTTTTTACTTTCAGCATCTAGGACTTAACCAGTTTGATCATATTCCTCCTTCAAGGTATCTTCCCAAGCCTACTTAACAAGTCAGGAAGTGAGGTTGCTGTTTACAGAGAAGAGTCTGGTAATTCTTGTTCAAATACTAGGGGTAGAAGAAATATGTAGATGCTGCTCAGGAAATATCAGGTACCTTCATGGAAGGTGTGTTTAGCAATAAAGACCAATTTTAATCCATTGGATTTGTGATTCTCTCTAATGCTAGCATTTTTTTCCCTCAACCCTGTGAAAGATTCATAAGTAACTTCAAATGACACTACAAAAAATGAGTCATAGTTACCCCTGAAAATGTTAGAGTCAGCTTTCCATCCCTCAGGGCTAATGGATCACAGCTGCTCAATAAATATTTGTTAAGCGAAAAACAATTCTAGGATGTCTTTACTTCCCAACCTAACTACATCAGGTCTTCCACTATTGATTATTTTTTGCCATCACGTTATATGAATCACCAACCCTTTCATCACATTGAAGTTTGTCTGATGTATTCAACTAAGAAGACCACCTTCCTTCACTGAAAGAAAAATAACAATCTCTCTAAAATAAAACAAAAACAAATAAACACTGTATTGGTACCTGTGGACTTGCTTATTCCAGCTCTGTGAACATGTGAATTGTCCAGTTGGATGTGTGAATGTACATTCAGAAATCCTGAGTTGACATCAGAATGTTCAACTCAGGAATAATCTCGATGTAGCTACATGTGGATGTGCCTTTTGTCAGAAATTATTTGCATTTCTAAGCAAATCAGATGAACTTCTAGTGCAGTCCTGCATCTCCTCATGCTAAGCGGACAAGCCAATTAAACCTTTGGCAATGCTAAGTCATCAAAGCACATGATGTTTGATTTTCTTTATAAATTTTAAATTAAATCTGTAATATGTTTATCCATTGATGTGGCTGGCTTAGAGACTAATTCAGATTGGTGGTTACTTAGTACTTGTGTTTATTAAAAACAGCTCCTTTATATGAGTACCAGTAATTCATATGTTTTAATTTGTTCTAGTTAGCCTTTCAGGGTCCTCTTGGAAGTGGTTGCATTGTATGATCTTAAATATTAAGAGTGTTATGCCCTTCTTTTGTTTTTTTTTTTTAATAGTTCTAACTTTACATTTCCAGTCATTAGATATTTACCATATGATTCATGGTCTAATTTCAAGACCAAAGATTAAGAAACTGTCTAAGGTTTTCCTGGATATTAATATTGTACATAAAAATAATGCAAATTTTCTGTCTGATATTTTTCCCTTTATATCCTCCAGTCAAGCTTGTTTTTATTCTGAATAAGAATCAAATGAGATTCTTAAACATTAAAAAATTTTTTCTGATGGACTTGGTCCAAAACAAGTAAAATAAAAAGTTGCTTATCACTGTTTTGAAGTAATACAAACACTGCTATTCTCTGCATAATGAAACATGACCATTCTTATCAAGTATTTATTTAATAAGTAGGTACTTGAGCACTTGAACTAGAGTTAAAGGCATGCTCCTTTCATGTCTTGTTCAGGCCCTTGAAAGCCATGGGTGAAATATTGATTCAATGAGGTAGGTTCCTTGAAAGGAGTTAAGTGAGGAAAGCATCTTTTTGGAAGAGCACTTTGGCAATTGGATGGAGAGTGGATTAGTAGAAGGAGTGGAAGATGTAATGTGGTGTTAAATAATGACATAAAATCCAAGTGACACCGAAATGGAGAAGGGGAAACCCAGGCAGACATCAAGCAGGATTCTTTGTTTTATGTGGAAAAGAAACAGTAAATAAGTGTGATCATTCACATGTTCCACGTCTATGGAAAACATTACCAGTTGATCACAGCGATCTTGCCTTCTGAGCCCTTGTGTTACCTTAGAATCTTGCAAACATTTGACAAATGTTTTGTAATAAATATTAGTTATTGAACATGTGCTATATGCCAGACACTGTTCAGAGCCTTATCTCAAGGGCGATGGAGTGATTAGGAACATGAATTCTTTTTGCCATTCACTAGTTGTGTGTCCTTGGGCAAGATACTAACTTCCCTGAGACTCAGTTTCCTCATCTTTCAAGGGAGATATTAGTTTCTATCTCATAAGGTTTGCGGGAGGATTAAATGAATAAGTATAGGTATAAATGAGAAGTCATTAGTAGTGTCTGGCAAAAAGTTAAGTGCTACATGTGTTTGTTTTGCTATTGTTATTATTCAGAAAACAACTTTACGCAGTAGGTACCATTGTGCAGATTAAAAAGTTAAGGTACAAAGGCCTTAACTGCTAGGCAAATTGCTCAGGAACATAGGCTGTAGGTGATAGAGCTGGGAGTCAAACCTAGACAGTCTGACTCCGACGCCTGCTTTCCTAACTGTCTCCTTTCCCAATTGTCTCCTACACTGCATGCTGGGTGCTGGGGATACTGATTGGAGCAAGAAAAGTAGGGGCTGTCCTTATGGAGATTAAGGGTTCCAATCATCTATATTGTAGAATGTGCCATTTCCAATATAGAATTCATGCTCAGATTGTTATACAATTTTTTTGGGCCATTATTCCTTGATGTTTTGGTATTTTGTAAATAGCATTTCTCATTAACTTTTTTAATAAGAAGTATTACAAGTTGTGTTTTCATATATGCTTTAAAAATAGGTTATTTTTTGGTTTTGCCTGTTGACATATGCAATACATATTCATTTTTAATATCTCCACTTATACTCAGTAATTCTTTGCTGGAGGCAGGAGGATATGTCTCCCTAATATACATATGTGTAACATATATCCCATATATAAATAATGCATAATGTATTATACATCTAATATATACATTTTATACAATAGGCGTTAGTTACATGCATTATATTAGATGTGCATTACATACACCTGTATACATTATATTACCTGTCTATACATATAATGTTTACACTGTACAATATATATATAATATACATTACATAGAACATTAAATTAGGGATATTTTTATATATAAAGAATCACTGGGTACAAGGAGAGATGTCATGGATGGGTATGTGTACATTAAATTATCGAGCAGGTATCATCAGTATGCTGAAAAACTTCTATGCCACCAACCTCTTTTCACATGCCCAGGTCTCATATATCTCCCATCCAAGAATGATGGTGGAGATATGATGACCTTTTATAACTATTTTTATTCAGAATATTTTTCAGCAGTCCCCAACCTTTTTGGCATCAGGAACCAGTGCTCCTACGAGAATCTAATGCCTGATGATCTGAGATGGAGCTGAGGCGGTGATGCTATAGCTGGG